TACTTCTGGTTTTCCACAATCTCCTGCAACGACTGTCACATTATTTTTGCATAATAGCCTTTCAGAAAAGCAGGTATGAGTAGGCACAGGTCCTTCAGAGCTACTGTCACTTAAGGTACAAGCATTTGCATCAGCATCTCTTACTGTAATCTCCTCCTAAAGCCCTGACCCTCCAGCTACTCATTTTTTGGGCTACTGCAAGGCAAACTACGGTCTGCTCAGGTCACCAGCAAAGTGTTCTCAGCATTGACAGATGCAACACTTGACACTGAAAGGCATCCTTAAATGTCTGGCATATTATGCTCTGTGAAGAAGCATATATTACACAAGAGAGGGTTGGTCAAAAAGCCTGGATCTTGTTTCAACTGCATATTTTTGTAGGCTTTTGTTTCAAGTGTTGTTTTGTTTTTTTTTGTTTAAAAGCCAGCTTAAATATTTACAAAAATATTTCCACAGTGATGAAAAGGCACCTGAACTGCCACCTTCTGTCACTATGATGGCTATTAGAAACATACTGAGTTGTGTGGCAATTACAAGGATGTGCCAAAAATCATTTCAAACCAGTCCATTCAGCAGTTAGCCTAACACAAAAGGTGACTGTGAAAAGCAAAGGCTGCACTGAAGCACATTCAGGATCCACACCTACTTCTTGCTGTGACTGTGCTGTGTCTGTTCCACACAATTCTGTTAACTGCAAATAATGTGGCCAGTCCCAGTTTAGGAAGTATTTGGCAAACTGTAAGACACAATCATGGAATAAATACTTTGCCAAAACATACATGAATACACATGCGCAGAGAATTCCCCCTAGAAATGTAGTTTGAGCTTCCTGAAAAATCCTAAAAAGAACATCTAGGAGATCTCAGTTTCTGTTCAGTCTTGCAGTTCCTATTTAAAGACAAGTTAGGCTTCTGTTTTCAGTGTCTGCTTACTTCTGAATTTGGTTTAAAGAGCTGTTAGCATAGACTTAACGAAGTTTCTTCTGAAGGGCTGACTGTGTTTCCTGCTATCTTTATGACAGAACCCATTTAAAATGAGCTTTCTTTATTTAATTATCTAGTCTTTATTTTTGCAAGTTTTATCTCTGAACTAGAATAAATGTTATGGTCAGAATTGTGTCTGCAGACAACAGGGTTATTTTAGAAGGCTTAAAAATCCTTTCCTGTACAACCAGACAGTGAAATGAGAGCTCTGTGGTGCAGCTTTGTCCAGGGGACATGAGCACAGGGACCTTTAGGTAGGTAGATGCCTTATACAAATGTTACAGATCCGAGGGTTGTTTGACTCCTGATCAATAACTGAAGTTTATCCCCTCTAAACTCTTGTGTCTGAGAGCAGCAATATGACCAGGCAGCACAGGTAATGCTATAGATCACTCCTGAAACCAGAAAAATTCCTGATCTCCAGAGTTTAAACCAGCTTCTGGACCATTCACCCTCCACTAGAGCTTGGAGCAGCAGAAGGGCTTTCTACAGCTTGCAGAGAAATTACTCTAAAGGGACAGTATAGGACAGATATATCCTGTGGAAGATATATATTTGAGGGCTCTCTGCAGCATGGCTGTGCCCTTTTTCCACCCCAGGCAGGAAAACCACAAGTTGCTGCTTGCTTTCAGACCTCTCCACCCCCACCTCAGGATTTATTACAGAACACTTAAGCCCAAAAATACAAAAGCTCTGCAAGCAGGGCAGGCGCAGCCATAAACGCAGAGAGGCCTCTGCTGCTGTAAATCAGTTCTGCTCAATTGAAATCAATACAAAGCCACAGCTCAGCCTAACACAGGCCAGCAGAGACGTGGGCACGCTGCTCAGTACTGGGGTTCAACAGACAGCTGTCCACTGACAAATGTCAGAGCTGTCCTGGCCTTGTTTACTCCCGTTGGCAAATTCCACTAGAAGAAACTCCAGAGTTACCAGTGCACAGCCCAGCTTAGCCTCCTTCCCTGCCCATAATTGCTGGGGCTGGGCCAGCAGCTGTTGTACAAATAACCAGAGGGGAGCTGGCCTGACCATTTGAGGATAGGGAAGGGAAGCAGCCTACCAGATAATGTCTGTAAAAGAGCTTGGAAACCACTGACACAGGCTAATTGCTTACTGCAGAGTGAAGTTTCCCCTCTCTGTAGGCTCATTTGATGTAAACTTCCTAGTCATGTCCAAAACCCTACCCGCAGGACAAACGCTGTTAGTACATAAACTGCTTAGCCAAGCCCTGCTCAGGGTTCCTGGGAAATATTCTGGGGAATGAGGAAACAGATAACATGATCATCCTCCTCACTGTGCTCAGCTAGAAACAAACATCTGTCTGGCATCTGGGCTCTGCCACCCACCATTTATTCCCATCTTCAACCTAAACAGAGAAGCTCAGCATTTTCATTACCTCTGGTCCCCTCAGTGAGCAAATATGGACAAAAGACATCAGATAAGAGAGGCTGAACTGGCTGAAAATCCCTCAAGGAGCTGGAAGGAACCAAGTGATATATAAAATGCCATGACAAAGTAGCAGCCTGTAGAAACATCCAATTTGTAATGGAGCACAGGCTTCCTTCCCCACCTAATTGGCTCATCTTGATTTTCTCCCTTTCTCAGGGAGATGGTGGCAATACTGACACTCCTGCAGGACATATGATCAACCCTGGAAAATTCCTTTAGAAATAACCATGTCTTTCCCAACTCTCTACTCACCTCTGCCTTTTCCCTCCTGAACACAGCCCAAATTATTGCCTGCAGCTCAGCATCCACAGTCAGCATATGGTCCTGTCCCTCCTGCTCCCTGGCACCTGTGTGGGGCTCAGCAGGCCAGAGCTGCTCCTCCTTGCAGGTAGAGACCACAACGTGGCTCAGGAGGACACCAGATCTCCATCCCCTTCCAGGAGGGGCTTGCTCAGATGCAGTACATGTACAACCCACCCCGATGGGACACACAGTACCTGGGATGCTCACACACACCTGTATTTCATGTCAGGACACCTTTGGTGAAGACCTAGATTCTGCAGCTGGAATACCTGGTCCCAAACCACATTCCCCTGGAATGGCAGTTCAGGTCACTCAGTTCCATTTCCTAAGAAAATGGGTTTATACATTTCCTAATGTATGCCTTTTAGCAGCAACAGTAACAAAACAATTCTAATTAGATAGCACTAATCAGGTCAAATGGCACAGGATTGACAGCTGGAAAGTCACTATTTGTTGTCTGAAAAAGATTGACTATTTTCCTTATAGAAGTAGGAGATTTATCAATAGAAAAAAGGATGCAAAACTGCAAAAGCTAAAGCATAATTACACAGGACTACACATTTTATTTTGAGCTAGATCTAACAGGATTCATGTGTGGTAATCACTTTTTTGGAGGGTTGAACAAGTGATATTAATCATAAAGGAAGATCATTACAAAGGCAGAATTAGGAAAACTTCACCATGCATAAACTGGTGTGTGGTCAATTTGCGGCTTTTTGTTGCTTCTGTTTGTTTGGGGGTTTTGTTTTTTTTTTTTAAATCAGGACTGGTTAAAACGAAAACAATCAAAAACTCAAGCAAAGAGTTTTTGACACATGTGGCAACAGAATGATTTCACTAGTGTTTTACCTTTTTTAAAATATTTAACTACCTGAAGTTATTATTTCAAATACATTTTCCAGTAACAGAAACAAAATAAAGCTGCCAAGTGGCACTTAATTTATAATATTTTACACAAGACAGCAGATAGGAACAGGCCATCCATTCCAACGTACACATTTTTCTTCTATCTGCTTATTTATACTCTTTATGAATTCTGGAGCTGAAAATCTTAAGAAAAGCTATTTTAGGCTGCAATGTAGAAGTATATCTTGGGGCAATATTCGTCCATTTGATAATCTCAAAGTCTAACAAAAAACTTTGTTATTTTTCCTACATTACTAAAATGTTTAGATTTATTTTACTTGTGTGACCTCATTTGCAAATGAGATAGCTTGTATTTTGAGATCTAATAGAGAAAATTTGTGTGTATTAATAGAAAAGAACCTCTAAGCTTACCTAAAATCATTCATTTCCAATGAAATAAATGGTCTGTATAAAAGCGAGGCGTTGGCAGTTAAAAAGTAACATTTGCATATTTATCTGGTAACAGTATTCAGACTTCTTAGAAAGCAATATTTTCCCTTCAACTATAACTAGCCCTGCACAACATCCCTCTTGTAAAAGCAACAAATGTTTGAAATGTATCTCAGAGCTTCAAAAAAAGCACACACAAATTCAATATAATGCTTGAAATCTTTACAAAAAACTTTTTAGGCATCAGACATTTTCCATAGAGTAAACATAGCTATTCACACAATTTCAAGTTGAAGGGTTTTTTAACGACTTCAAATACAGAACTGGAATTTCCTTGAACAAACCAGCTGGCAAATCAAAACCATCATTCTGAAGTGCATTTTTATTTGTGGTATTTCAAAACTGTGCAGACACATTAGGTCTTCCGTAAGACTTACAAGAGCAGTGGGACAAACAACAAACCAATATCCTACCTTTTCAGCACCACACATCCTGGTGTGGTGCACTGGCAGGTCTCATTGTTGTACGTGCACAGAAAAAAATAACTGTAAAATTTCTAGGGTGGATTGATTTTGGTTTTTTAAAACCTGAATATATATATATTTATGGATGCTTACAGTCTTAACACAGTAAGCAAATGGTATGGGAATGTACTGATTGGACCAGGAGAGTAAAGAGAAGTTTGGGGGAGTATGCCTGTCCAAGGCAATGTCCAACATTCCAGTGTTAAGAAACTAAAAGAAGACTGAGAAAAGGAGCAGAATAACAGGGCAAATCCTTCAGGTAAATGGCAGAAATGCAAGAAAGGAGAGAACGTGTACAGAGGGAGTTTGCAAGGAAGCCAGAAGAAAATACACTGTTAAAACTTCTTTGAACTATTTCTGAGCACAGCAGTAACATAAAAAGCAAGTAAACAATTTGATTTTGGAGGACTTTCATGTTTCAGTCCTCTGAAGAAGACAACTCACTCACCCGAGTACGCCCAGTAAGGATCTCCCGAAGCCTTTCGCCTCCGTATCTGCACAGAACTACCATGTCTGTTTTCATGCAGAGAGCCAACATAACCTTCGGTCAGAGCTGGGAAGAAAAGAAGCAGGAATTGTTAAAAAAGTGGTATCTACTCCCTGGAGTTTACATTGCAAAACTTAATTCTTTGCTAAGCAGAGACTGCAAACTTGGTATTGCTCAAAAACATTGAACAGGCCTGTTCCTCACCGATGAAAACCCACCATCCAGAGGTGATTCACGGAAGCCAGGACTCACTAATGCCATTATTCTGGTCTGGCACGTTTCTGTGCAACTCCAATAATTTCCACAAGGAAATTCTGATATACAGGAACAAACAAGTACCAGCCATGACATACGACCAAGGGAGAGGGAAGGAGTAAAGAAATCTTTGTAAAACTCCACAAGCTAGAAGGTATTAAATTAATCAGCTAAACCAGAAAAGAATCCATCCTACATTCCATCCCAGGATTTTATACTTCAGATAATTTTTATTTTTTCCCTTCTAAAGGAATGCATTGCTTCCATGAGGACGTGGGATATTTGGGCTTTTTATGTGCAAATTTTGCTTATTGTTTCTGTGCATCTGACTGAACCAAACTGGAGGTGTGTGAATTCACAAATGTCAGTAGAAAGTCTGTAAAAAATTCAACTACCTTTCTCAGAGCCCAACTGAAAACTTTTGTGCTATAATAAATGCACACAAACAGAAAAGACCTTATATCAACAGACATGGAATGTGAGGAACAAGCATGCACCGAATGGCTTTATGGAAATTTAAGTCCAACTGCTACCAAACCACTTATTTGATCAGTAAGAAACCAGCTGAATAATTCAAAATAAAACTTCAGAAAACGACGTAAAGCAGTGCTACCCAGTCACCAAACACTGCTTTCCCTTCTATTCCCAGGCCAATTATAGCTGGGCTGAAATGAAGCCTGCAACAGGACTTTATTGAACATCACGCACCAGTTACTCAGTTTGCCTTTCTTTCCTTTTGAAAAAGCTTCTGGGTGACACCCCTTGCACCACAGTAGCAGAGAACACGCTGAGCCCAAGGCTACCCATGTGTGTTAAACTGCTCTGTGGACAACCTTCCCTCTGCAACGTGGATCATGGATTTCTACAGATTTTTGGAACCCTGAAGTGGTAGGAAAAATCATGCAATTTCAGGAAAGGCAGTACAGGTTTGGCCCTGACAGATTTTCTCTTGTGTGAGCAAAGGTACTAATTGTGCAATTTGAATGAGTTTTCCAGATTTCTTGGCAACTTTCTAAATGCTAATTTACTCCAAGCTGTGAACTAAAAACACTGGAAACACATCATGCTACCAGTTTTTATAGGCAACACTACCTCACATACCTTATTTTCCTCTTTAAAAATACTAAATTGAAGATCTTATTTTCATCCTTTATTTTTTAATTTATTTTTGTATGTCTACATGGTTGAGAGACAACAGGCACTCATTTCAACAGGAAAGAACAGGTATGGGATGAGAAGACCCAAACACTCTTGGCAAAAAAAAACTAAGCAAAGATCAGAGACTATGAAAATCCCAAGGAAGAGAACATAGGAATAGCCTAGGTGGATGGCTGGAAAGGCTGTCAGAAAAAAAAAAAAAGGACCAATTATTCACTTTAAAAAAATCACACATGCTGAGAAATACATCTAAAGTTCCCCCTTGTTACAAAATCAAAGACAACAGCAGCTTTCTTCTGAGCATTCTCTATACAGAGAAGGATTTTTGTTGCCCAGAAAATCTGAGTCCTTCAGGTAGAAGGAAGGTTGCACACTGCCTCCTCCAAAGAATAAGGTGCTCCTGTAGGTATCTTTTCCACAAGCCCTTCTGTGTGCCTTAGCCTCCAGAGAAAGAAACTGTCTAAACAATCTCTATTTGTTGAAGGTACAAATGCTCCAAGCCAGTACAAAACATCTGAAGCTGTAAACACCTTTGTACTTCTAGCTGGAACCATCAAAAAGTCTCATGGTAACCATGGCATGGCCATGAATCATACCATTGATTTTCAGTGTCCTCTGTGAGAAATTAAATTATGCAAATCTAAGCTTTTATGAATGCCTAACTTTAATGTGAAATTAAACATTTGCTTCCGTCAGCATCCTATTTATGCAATTATAAACCTGACATTCTTATGAAAATATACAGTTTTAGTTTTCTGCAAAGACACTTAATAGATTTGTGTACTTATTTATGCCTATGAAAGGTGAAGAGCCATGCTGTACACAAATTTATTTCCACCATCAAGGATGTTACAAACCAGGAGGGGAGCTCAAGTATTTTTCAAGAGAACTATGGGAAGTGACTTGCTGGTTATACTGCTAAATACCTTCTGTAGGACTGAAAAAGAAACAAATTGGAACATCTTGTTCTAAATAAAATCCTGCATCACTGCTAGACAGCCCAACATTAATGTCAATAGTCCACTTAAAACATGCAGTAATTCAGTAGTCATCAGCAATTTAGAGATTTAGCAACTACGTTTACTGGGTAGCTGCAGAAACTCTGGGAAAAGGATGACAGGTCAAGATCCCTGGCCGTGCTGTGAACTGGAAAAGTAATGGTCTGTCTCCTTCAAAAATCCTGACACGACACCACCTTCATCCCTCTGTTGGCTCCGTTCCCCTGCGTTCACAGCACAGCCATGCACTTCATGAGGCCACAAAAACACTCCAAGAGAACACTGTGGGAACAAACAGCTATTGTTGGCAATATCTTATACTGGTAAAGTCATCAGGAAACCATAGACTCAATCTCATGGTGCTTTTGTTCTTTGGTGTCAACTGGGGTCAATGGACTCTCTCACACTCAAGAGGTGCAAGGTACAGAACAGAGCACGCAGTGACTTTTCAGATAAAAGTCTGGAAGAGCCAAAGTATTCAAGTCAAGTTATTTCAAAAAAGGAAGTGCTTCATACATCAAAACCATCCTCTGTTTCAGGTAGAATCGCTATTTTTTTTCAGATTTTGGGGGAGGCTGGGGATGTATCTTCTAACCAAAACAAATTGACACCACGAATGAAAATTTAACAGGCATCTTGGTGTTACTACATCTGCTTCTTTCACTGAAAATACATACAGCTTAAATATTCTGTTCAGCTCCAGCCATTAGAGTGCATTTATCCATTTTTGTAAATGCTCCAATTCCTCAGTTTCAGAAGATCTATGTGCAAATAAGTGACTCAAAATCAACAGACATCTTCCAGTGTTTCTAACACTGGAACAAGTTTTGGAGAAAATATTTAAGTTACGTTTATTAGCACCAGTCATTACAGGTTTCCACAATCTTTCTCAGCTGGGAGACAGTTAACAGCTCCCACACAGGGAGCAGCCAAGTGGTTTCCTGCTCCACTCCTGCAGAGCTGGATGCTGGAGAAAAGCCAGCAATTAGACGGGCTGGTCCGACAGGGAGCAAACAGGGGGAGGCTCCTATCTTCTGGGAACCCTGCAAAAGTTGGGGAAGTGGAAATCGGCACAGTAGGAGGGGCAGGAACATGCTGCAGGAAGGCTCAACATGGAACAGCCAAATTAGAGGGGTGGAACACACACACACAGAACAGGAGGCAGAGAAGAGAAGGGGCAGCAGAAGCCCTTGCCCTGCAAGGTTTCATTTGATGCATCACGCCAGTGCTGATGGCAGAGGAGAAATGAATGCCATAATATATGGTCTGAGACGTGCGGATACACGATTAAAAGACAAAGGGACTGATCATACACTCAGATACACAAGCGTGAAATTAAACCCTGAGCAGCTCCCCTGGCTGCCGGGGCCGTCCCGGTGCCCGTCAGGCGGAACACCTGCAGCCCGTGGAGCTGTGCTGTGCCCGCCAGCGCTGCTGCTGCAAGGAGGAGAGAGAGGATCCTTCAGAGCTAACATGGAGAAATCTCTTACACACAATTTCATATAATTTTAATGGGTACTGAACGCTACATGATTTCAGATGATGTGGTAAATGAATCAGCCCCTGCCGCAGATCTGCGGACAGCGAAAGCAATGCAGTGCTGGATATGCCTCAGCATTCTGAGCAGCTCCCCATTCACTCTGTCTCAACGTATTAACTTTCCAATAAAAATTATTTGATAAGTGCCCTCAAAGGTACGATAAGGTAATTCCTGCCTGAATACCTTACTGGTGGTTCATGGCTGACATGAAAACACAAAATTTTATCCCCAATCTACTTTAAATATAAAGCTATTACACTATTCAGGGAGATTATACCCTCGGCATTAGTGTTTAAAAGGTATCAAGCCATCAGCAATGAAAGAAAAATCCTTTAAGGTCGATATGTTATGTCTGAATGGTGAAATCATTAGTTATGATGGTAGATTAACTAGATCGTGTGCCAAACTCAGATTCTTTTAAGCTTTCTTTGAAGATGAGGGTTGCACACAAATCTGTTTTCAGCTGTTGCAATTAAAATGGTACAAATTCAAAGGTACACACATTGCCCAGCTCATAATCATTCTGACTTGCCACTTTGGACTGCAGTAGCAGCTGAATCACAGTTTTAGTCCTAGTCCCTAATGTGTACAAACTTGTTCACTGATGTACTTCAGTGTGCTGCTACAAGATAGTCTTTGGAGACAGAGATTTGACTATTGGAGTCTGGAGTAGTGTCACATTATGAAAACACTTAAAGCAAGGGAGTTAAAGAAAATAAATCTTATTCATGTGTAACAAAAAATTATGAAATCATAAGGAATTCTAGATTTACTTCTGTATCAAATCAATGCCTGCAGAAAAGAAACTTTTCAAAACCAAGAAAAGCACTATTTTCTTGAAGTCTGCAGAGCAATGCATTTTAAAAGGGAGTCGGGGGCACGGAAACATTACCTGAAGGGCTTTTGTATCATCTCTTAAACAGAGTTAAAGAGATGAGTGACCCAAGACACTTAGCCATCTGCAAGCCTAAAGCTTCAAGAAAGCCTCACCAGAAAAAAAGCAGCACCTTCATCTAGGTGCACTCACTGTATTTTTAAAGTGCTAAAAGAAGCAGGTGAGCTGGAGACATTGCAACTCTACTGCAACACATTCTGCTGAAAAGAGTTCAGACTTC